ACCTGGGCAAGGACTTCCAGATTGAGGCTGGTCCAGTTGCTTTCCAACAAAGTCCAGATTAGTGTGTTTACTGTTATTAAAATAATAATCATTACTCTATTGTGCTCGACTGTACTACAGATAAAAGTCACGAAGAACAGACGCCAATGATAATTAAGTTTGTCACAGCTACTGAAGCTGGTTAGGTCATCAGTAAAGATAATTTTATCTGATTTTTGCTGTTGCAAAACACAAATAGTGCTGGGCAGTATGGCCAAATTGTTCTGAGCAAATATAACGAAACAGAAAGACCAATGGAATCAACATAAAAGCTAAGATCAGTGGTCTTCAGAAAACGAATTAGATTTAAAGTCAAGATTTTTTTTTGCACCATGCAATGTACAATCTCTGAATTTCATATTGAACGATGCAGACTTCTGAGGAAATGATGGTCTTTGACTTGATCCAAAGTCTATTTTGCTCCTTCAACTCATCAATGGTTATTATTGCATATGAAATGTTTCCTAGTTACATTTCAATACTTTGAATGACACGGAATAGTAGAATTGATGTTGTTCGTGCACTGCAATACCAGTTGGAAAAGCTAAGCAACGCGCTGGTCTCCAATATAGAAAACAACACTTTCCCAGTAGCCAGTGGAACAGAGTCGAGTCCTAAAACGAAGGAAGTTGCAACTGAGATACTTAGTTTCAGATTTGTAGCTAGTTATTAAATAAAGCTCTTCAGCAAGGAGTATCAAGACAGAGCTTCCTTATAATGTCTCAAACTGTTCCTCAAATACAAAAACAGTCATGCATCAATACAAGATTGACGAAGTATTTGCAAAAGTGTTGAAGAACGCAAGTGAGTTTCCAAAAGGTTTGTTTGTTGAAGTTCGCGCTAAGGTACACGAGGGCTGTCTGTGCTAGCCGTCCATAATTTAACAGTGTAAGACTAGAGGGAATACAGCTAATCATCACCACCCACCGCCAACTGTTGGGCTCCTCTTTTACCAACGAATAGTGCGACTGACCGTCACATTATAACGCCCTCACAGCTAAAAGGGCGGGCACGTTTGGTGTGACGGGGATTCGAACCCGCGACACTCAGATTGCGAGTTAAGCGCCTTAACCACCTGACCATGGCGGGTATCAAAGTTAAAATTAGTAGGTGTGAACGGTAAAATGAAAATATGTCTATTGCGGCAAAATGGCTAGTGCCAGGCCTGCCTAAATAAGTTTACTGAACGATATTTCAGCTCATTTATTTTGCAGTGTGGAAAATAATCAAAGAACAGGTTTATTTACGTAAACCTGCAGACATTAACGCGATGAAAACTTATACTAAAAATGAATTTCAAATCTTCATGCACCTGCTTGTTGAATGAAAAAGGGGACGAAGTTTCGGCTTGTACATTGAGGCCTTCTTCATACACGCCTTACCTCAATATAAACTTACTGAAATAGCAAAGTATTACCTGGAGAATTAAAATTTCAATATCACCTGAAAATGTTGATTGTTATAATAATTGTGTATGTTTTGAACAGAAGAAGTATAGAAGCCGAAACGTCGTCCCTATTTTCATTCAACAAATAGTTGCAATCCATTAAAGTCATCAAACCTACTGTGTCTACTTTGCTTAAAGTTTCACAGAAACAACACTTCATACACAATTATGTTAAAAAATCTGTCTCTCTGGATAAATCAAGAATGGAAACACCACGAACACTTCTTTTAAGAAAGGAACTTGTGGCTTGCAATATAACTTAAAACCTGTTCTTTCACCTACGTGGTAACAACACGCTATATTTTGTACCATTGGGTAATATTACTCATGTTTCAACCTTTATGCCTAGGAATCTATATAACATACTTTGCTATGTTAATGTTTTGAAACGTTACTATGGTTTTACAAGTCTTTGAATCGAATAATATTTCACTCATGAAATGATTTAATGATCTCTTTCGAAATCAGTACTTGTGATTTTTTTTTGTTCCCTAATTTATAAAACAAAAACATTTTATTTCGAACCCAGTGTATTTTATTCCTCTATTTTTTATTAAAGTTCATAATATTTTGTTATTTAGGTTAATAGCAAACATTGTGGGTGATCTTTTTAATTGTAGAAAACCGAATTTTGAAATATCAATAATTGAATAAGTTTGTATTATAACTTCTAAATGACTCATTACTATTACACAGCCGTAATCAACGTAATGGATTTCCTGGAAGTTATACAGTATTCCTGTGTATTATTTTACCAACCTAAGACTGGTATGGTCTAATGGCTGGCATGATAGGCTGCAGATCGAAACGTCCAAGGCTTGAGCCACGGTCCAACTCTTTCAGCTGCACGGTCGTTATAACTGAGGCAGTCAATTTCCACTATTTAGTTAAGAATAGTTGCATAATCAGGTGGTTTTAGTGTCTGGTTGTCCATCTTCTGGTCAGCGGTGCTAATTCTTTGCGTAGCATAAAGTGTCATTAGAGTTGAAAATACCAAACCTTCCGATGTAGTTTAGATGCAGAAGTTTAGATATAAAATCCACCGAGATAAAAGCATTACCAACAGGGTATTATTCCATGTCGTATGGCGCTACCTATTTTGTTTGTGTAGTCTAAGAGAGTAGTAGGGAATAAGCCACATATTTATTGATTTAAAGTGCCATTTTTTACTTTTCAAATACCTTTCTTAGTTTTAATATCAGAATATGTGTTGCATTAAGATACTAATATAAATATTAATATTGCTTGTAAAATTATGTTTAAGATATGTTTAGACTGTTGTCGACGAATATCCAGTTAGTTTTATAAATGTATTTTAATCTTTGTTTTCGCCAACGCGGTTTATACAACAATGCTCGTTGATTTGCGACTCACGTCTGGAAATGAATTCTTAGCACTATCACATGCTTTACGATAAACTTTCAAAATATCAGTTTGTTGCACCATCTAGGGAAAGTAACAAAATTTGGTTACAATATTAAGAGATGATATTTGCCTGTGATGATAAATAGTGGATATTTCGAAAACATTCTGGATATTGGGTTTAGTGTTTTTGTTATAAAAGCTGACATTGCTTATATTAGGTGAGACTCTGTTTCAAAACAAAACAGAAGAAATAACCTTAAACATTTGTAAGAATAGATAACAAAGCAACATCCAGCATAGTCTACGCGATATAATACGAAATAATAATCAAATTTTGAAATGGTGCAAAAAAATTCAAACGTCAACCTCAATTTTTCGAAAATTACTATTTTTAAAGTTTGTTTATTGTTTTTTAGTGCAAAGCGACACAATAGGTTTTCTAGACTCTATCTATACTAGGAAATCGAACCCCGGATTTTAGTATTGTAAGTTTGTAAACTTACTCCTGATCACTGGGGGAGGGGTCCATTTTTAAAGAAACGACTACAAAGTTTAATTTTGCCGCTTTTGATTCAAACATACTCCAGAATTTTATTATTTTGTACAAACGACAATTAAACAATAAAAAAATTATATTCTTCATATTAAAAAAAGAAACAGTTAATTTTATTCTAAACCTTAGGCTTAGAATTCCTCTGCCTACTTTCATTTAACTAAATTAATGAGAAAAGGTCAATTCTCATTGTTCAAAATAAATGATGGATTTTTAAATTTTTATAAAAATCCACATTTATTAATATCTGAACGTTAACATATGTCATATTTAAGGAATTTTTGACTGACTGGCCAGAACTGGATTTTGATCAACAATATATGACTCTTTTATATACAATAACAGGTTTAAGAATTTAAAAATTACTTTTGTTTCAGCTTAAAAAGTATATTTTATTTAAGTTCAGTTAGACGTGAACGATAATTTGTGAATATTTATTTGCTTATTATATTTACATTGTTAATGCATTGTATTTTGGTTTAATTCAAAGAAAGCAAATATTTTGAAACTTTTTAAATGTTTAAATACTATACACGATTCTCATTATCTTGACTGGTTCAAACGTGTAGTTATAGAAGAATTGAAACATATTTAAAAACTAAAACAAAGAAAAACTCGTGCATTTTCTTTGAATTATCAATTTTTGTTTCCAATGTTTTGACTACGCTACTTAAATCGATATTTTAATGACACAAAGGAAATTCTGTTATGCAAGTTTTATTTGGCCCTGAAAATGTTAACAATTTCGTTTCTGCTTTAGTCGATACAATCTGTGAGGTATATTTAAATAGAAGTCATTTGATCAGCCAGTTCATACACGCATGCGCGTAGCGATCAATGTCAACACTATGTATTTTCAACAAATATTTTAACGACATCTCTTGTCCCGAAACACTCTTTTTATTCTCCCTGTCTGAGCGAAATGAGCATTTTCATTTGTAATTAAATAGTAGTATTGTTTTCATTTTATAAAATAACATTTAATTTACATTCTGTGTATTGGGAATTTAAGAAAATATTGGTTGTTAACTAAGAAATATTACAAATGTATTTCATATTAAACCGCTAGATAAAGATCCAGTAGTTTTAAACTAAAGTACTCAACAACGTCCAACGTTTCGTCTCACATCTTCATAACACCTAAGTAAAATAAAATCCAACATTTTGACTTATATCTTAAACACAAAAACATGGAACGTTTCGTCTCGCATCTCAAGTAGAATAAAATCCAACATTTTGTCTTATATCTTAAACACAATAACATGGAACGTTTCGTCTCGCATCTTAAGAACACCTTAATAAAATAAAACCCAATATTTTGACTTATATCTTAAACACAACAACATGGAACGTTTCGCCTCGTACATTGAACATACCAACAACTATTTCGTTCCTTGTATAGCATCATTTGATGTTCACGCCTCGCAATTTTGTTATATAACAAGAACAAAATTCTCTGCAAGTTGGTACTTTTTAAAACCATTTTTTTGTATTATCGGAAATTCTTCTCAAACAAAACGTCTTCTCTATCTAGCTAAGTGAATATCTAAGAAATCTTTATTACTGTTGACACAATAATGATCCGTTTACTTACAGCAAATAGCCTGTTCGATGTGGATCATGTTGGAAGCGATGCTGTTTGGATCCCTGCTTCTTTATCAGACAGTAAGTTCCTCTTTACTCATTAAATCTTTAGTTTGTGTTTTAATATATATTGATATGACCTGCTATACGTTTTGATTTTCAACTAAACTATGTCTGATGGTTTGAAACTTGCATAAAGCATTCTGTTTATAGCAATGTTTTCAAAGATATGACGTGTAAGAAATTATGGACATTGAAACCGTATATATATCTATCTATTCTTTAAATATATAAGTAAAAATATATAACTTTTCAAAAAACAAGGAAGTAAATGTAGGGATGGTTAATATCAATATTTCGAAAATAATGCAAACAAGATGGTAGGGATGGCATTTGCATCATCCCTACATAATAGCATCTTTACGATCTTGTTAGCATTGGTTTTGAAGGTTTGATATTAGCCATCCCTATATTTACTTCCTTTTTTGAAAAGTTTTTCTTTTCAAGTTCGCTTATTTTTTAATAGAATGTTTCAATAGACATAGGAAGATTTTATTTATAACCAAGCTCTAAATACAATGAGGTTCCAACTGTAATATTTATTGTTTATCTATTATTAGCAGGTAATTTCTGTTTCACCCTGTATTTAAGCTTTTTAAAGAAACACCAAATTCTTCTAAGAAAGCTATCTTCAAGGGGTAATGATACAATAGAATTACGATTTTTTTTATTGCTATTAGTTATTAATAATACTTATAAAATCGGATACTCAGTTTGAAACTGTGTCAATTTAGTGAAATTTGTTTTACACCATTGTTTTAGTTTTTGAGTTATCATGTAATAAAAAAGAAACTTTTTGCTATGATATTAACAGACATTCTCAGAACTTGTAAAAGAAAACACTGTATAGTATTGTAAGGTGTTGAAAACACAGGCCTGCGAATTTAAACTTCATAAAAGTTGTTTTGGTTTTAATAACGGATTTTCCATAATTCA